CCACTGAAACCTGTCCATCATGGGTGACCCTGCTGGTACCGGTGGCATAGCTTCCAACATCACAGCAATACATAAGCTATAACAGTGTGACAAACTGACAGACGGGTGACCACATTACATGTCTCTGATTTTTCGAGTGAAGGGTAAGAAATGGACATTCCAGTTGTTGGTGGAGGTGGACAGGGGTGTGATTTGGGTGATCGAGAGGACCAGTCCATGTTGTCCAATAGACTCTCCCATCAAGCATGCACTGATGAAGCATCTGTCCATGCAGTCACTACGAGAGGTGTGTTGTTGTTAGTTGCCAGCAAGTCGATTCCAACTCATGGTGACCCCATGTGTGCAGAGTAGAATTGTTCCATAGAGTTTTCAAGGCTGTGACCTTTCGGAAGCCCATCGCCAGGCCTGTCTTCAGAGGTGCCGCCGATGTTCAAACTGCCAACCTTTCAGTTAGTAGTGGAGCACTTAACTGTTTGTGCCATGGAGGGACTCCTGTGAGAGGTATAAGTGATGCAAATATGGACTAAGGGTTTCTCTGTCCTCAAGGAACTTACTGTCTTGTGGTGAAAGAAAGCAAATAACTAATGATGTGTTAGGGTACTGGAAGGCCGCACAGAACCCATGAGAATAATCCCATCAGAACAGCACTTAACCCTCCTCTCAGGGCCTCAAGGAGAGGTGACACTGTAGCTGAATCTACCAGGGGGTCTGGCTTAGCAGGACCTGGGTGTCAGCATGCTCAGGAAACCACCTTCTTCTTCCTCTGAAACACACAGAATCAGTTCTTACTGCTCACATCCTCAGGCTAACTTGCCACCCCAGCTTCTCCTTCCTGAGCTGGGCTTAGGCCTGAATCCTTGATTTCTAAAGCCAGGCCACCTCTGAAAGGGGGGCACTATGGAGGGGCAGTGCTGAGTGTGTAGACATGGTATGCAATTCTTCATTGAAAGGGATGCAATTTGACAAAGGCTTATTCACAAGCAATTGGTGAAAATAAACCAGGAGGCTCTGGAGTCACTGATGCCTCCACTCTTGTCCCTATAATTCATTCTCAGAGCAGCTGGAGGGATCTTTAAACAATTTTTATATTGTGGTGAAATATATATAACCAAAATATTTGCCATTCCAACCGTTTTTACATGTAAAATTCAGTGACATTAATTATGTTCCCCAAGTTGTGCAACCATCACCATTATCCACTTCCAAATGGTTTCATCACCCTTAACAGGAACTCGGAACTCTTTCAGCAATACCTCCCCATTTCCCCCCCATCGCCACCCTGGAGACCACTAACAACTGTGGTCTCTGCATTTCCTGTTCCAGATATTTCATTTAAGTAGGATTGTACAATATTTGATCTTTTATGTCTGGTTTATTTCACTCAGCATAATGTTTTCACGCTTATCCATGTTGTAGAATGTACCAGAACTTCATTCCTTCTTATGATTTAATAATATTCCGTTGTATGTATATACTATATTTTGTTTATCCATTCATCTGATGTTGGACACCTGGGCTGTTTCCACCTTTTATTGTGAATAATGATACAGTAAACATTGGTGTACAGATATTTGTTTGAGTTCCTGCTTCCAGTTCTCTTGGTATATACCTAGGAGTGGAATTGCTAGGTCAGATGGTAATTCTATGTTTAACTTTTTGAAGAACTGCCAGACTGTTTTCCACAGTGGCTACACCGTTTTACAGTCCAGCAAATGCACAAGGGTTCCAATTTCTCCATATCCTTGCCAACACTTGTTGTTTTCCAGTTTTCTGATCATAGCCACCCTAGTGGGAGTGAAGTGAGATCTCATTGTGTTTTGATTTGCATTTCCCTGATGACTAATGACTGAGCATCTTTTCATGTGCTTGTTGACTGTTAGTGTACCTTCCCTGATGAAATGTCTATTCAAGTCCTTTGACCGTTTTTTAATTTGGTTTTAGTCTTTTTGCTGTTGAGGGAGGGATTAAAAAATACATATCAGATGACACACTCTCCTGACTAAAACTCTCCAGTGGTTTCCCCTCACACAGAATAAAATCCATACTCTTTACAACAGCCCTGAAGGCCCTTCCTGAATTAGCCCCTGCCTACATGTCTGCCATCTCTCACATGACAGTCCTTTTTTTTAGTAATATTTTATTGTGTTTCAGGTAAAAGTTTGCACAGTAAATTAGGTTCTCCTATAAAAAATTTATACAGATTGCTCCATGCCATTGGTTACAATTTTTACAATGTGTCAGCATTCTCATTATTTCCATTGTGTTTGTTGTTTCCACTAATCTAGCTTCCCCTCCCCTCCTTGCCTTCTCATCTTTGCTTTTGGATAAATGTTGACTGTTTGGTCTCACATAGTTAATTGTTTAAGGGAGCACATTACTCACGGGTGACATTTTTTATTTTATGAGCCAATCTATTATACGGCTATACAGAAATAGCTTCAATTCCAAGTTCAAAGGTTATCTTAGGACGATTGTCACAGGGGTTCCTCTAGTCTCTATCAGTCCAGTAGGTCTAGCCTTTTTTTAGTTTTCTTCTACATTTTTCTCCTGTTCTATCTAGGACCTTCTATTGTGTCCCTAGTCAGAACAGCTGATAGTGGTAGCTGGGCACCATCTAGTTCTTCTGGTCTCAGGTTAGAAGAGGTTGTGGTTTGTGTGGGCCACAAGTCCCATGGACTAGTTTCTTCCGAGAGTCTTTGATTTCTTTCATTCTTTTTTGTTCCACATGAGTAGAGACCAATAGCTGTATCTTAGACGGTCGCTCAGCAGCTTTTAAGACCCCAGAGGCTACTCACAAAACTAGGATGTAGAGCATTATTTTTGTGAAATATATTATGCCAAATGACTAAGTTGTCCCTTGAGGTTATGGTCTCAAAGCCTTTTAATCCAGTAAACCAATCCTGCGAGTTGTTTGGATATGTCTAGGAAGACTTCGTAACTGTGCCTCGTATGTCGTTTGTTACATATGTGGGTATATATGCAGCACACTCAAATGTGTATATTCATATGTCTACAGATACACCTATACATGCAGGTGCATTTACTCACATGTGCCTTTCTATACACATATACACATTCATGTCTACCCATGTAACCATATACATATTTTTGGTTGTTTTTACTGTTGTTGCAAATTGTATATGTTAGAGCATTTACCTAAATTGTCCCTTTTTCTCATGGACTGCTTCGTGTCTTTATTTAACTTGGTCAAGTTGTGCTGACTTCACCCATGTTTGGTCTTGTCTTTCCCATCATCACAAGTAACAAGTCTCTACTATCTAGAAAGTGATTCCCCCTCCCTCTCCTTCCCATCTCTGGTAACCATCAAAGAACTTTGCTTTCTGTGTGTATATCTATTCTTGACTTTTTATAATAGTGAGACTATACAATATTTGTCTTTTTGTGATTGACTTATTTCACTCGCATCCTCCATATTCATCCATGTTAAAATATGTTTTGCAGACTCCTCATTATTCTTTATAGTTATGCACTTCTTTCAAAACTTATCTCCAAACCCAGGGTTTCCAAATGTGCATCTACCTAACTCAGCCCACAGCTGTACGCTGATTATGTCAATGAATTTCTTCAATTTGTGTCATCTATGTATGTGAGCTTTCTCAAGCTTTCTATTTACTGTTCAAGAAATGTGAAAGGAGCTGCCGTTCATTGGGTGCCTCCTGGCCCCTTACGCATTATGTCATTTAATCTCTCTAAGGCCTTCACGGTAGTTGTTATATTCAGGTTACAGATGAAGAAAGAAGCTTATAGGGCTAAAATAACTTAAGCGCTTTCAGATCGCAAAGCCTCTGCTCCCTCCACTCAGCTGCAGAGCCACCCATGTCATCTAAACCCCTTTAGATTTATTGTGGTAAAATACTTATAACACAAAATTTGCCATCCTAACAGTTTTTAAGGTGGCATTATTTAAACTCACAGTGTTGTACCACCTTCACCACCATCTACTCCACAACATTTCATCACCCCAAGTAGACACCCATCAGACAATAACTCTCCATCCCTCCAGCCCCTTCACTTCTAATCCACTTTCCATCTGTATGAATTTACCTAACTAGATAGGTCACATAAGTGCAATCATACAATATTTGTCTTTTTGTATATAAATTATTTAATTTAGCATAATTTTTTCAAGGTTCATCTATGCTGTAGCATGTATCAGAAATTCATTCCTTTTTATGGCTGAATAATATTCCATTGTGTGTGTATATACCACATTTTGTTTATCTATCCATCTACTGACGGACATGTGGGTTGTTTCCACCCTTTGGCTACTCTGAATAGTGCTACAATGAACATTGGTGTACATGTGTTAGTTTGCATCCCTGTTTTCAAGTCTCTAAGTTTATACCTAGGAGTGGAATTGCTGGGCCATACAGTTGTTCTATGTTTAACTTTTTGAGAAACAGCCAAACTGTTTTCCACAGCAGCTGTACCATTTTACTATCCCACAAGCAATGCACGAGCGTTCCAATTTCTCAACACCCTCACCAACACCTGTCATTTTCCATTTTTCTGATAATAACCATCCTAGTAGGGCTGAAGCGGTATCTTGAGTTTTCATTAGAGGCAATAGTTGGGCTGTGTACACAGCAGGCATTCAGTAAATGCTGACAGCACTTTCACTGAAGGCCCTATCCCCAGAGATTCTGATCATTTGCAATGGGGTGGGGCCTAGGCATCAGAATTTTTAAAAGCCTCCCAGACAATTCTAATGTGCAGCCAGGGCTGAGAACCTCTGCCTAGTTGGATGCCATTCTTTCAAGAGATTATAATTTTTATAATTAAACTCAGGTTTCAGCTGTATTTAAATAACTTACCAAAGCCCACTGGAATTTTCCTTTCATTTCCTTTATAAACTGTTTCACTCTGATATAATTAACAAAACCACAGACACAATCTTCTTTCCTTCACAAACCAATTTATGAAACCAAACACAATGTGAGAAAAGAATAAAACCTAAAGCCCTCACATCAGGTACTCACCTGATATCTGCAAAGTTGCTGATCGGCACCTTCAGGAGATGTGCTATGTCCTCTATCAACTTCTTTCCCTTTTCCAGGCTCAGAGGGCTGTTGAAGGATAGCAAAGAAGAGGGAGGGGGAGAAAGAGCATTACAAAATGGAACTCATCAATACTTGAGAAACTAAAAGTCCCCAAAGAGTTACCACCTTGGCCTCTGAGATTCTGAAAGCCATCCCCGCTCACGGTATTCCTGTCACATAGTGATCATGACACCAGGGGAATTGGGATCAGGTGCTTCTTCAGGCATGATGAATCACCTGAATTTTCCAGCAATAAGACAAACAATAAGGTGCAAATGGAATTGTTAGGAAGCGTAATGGGCCCATGATGCAGCAACTGGCTCATCTCAGCCTTCAATAAAAAATATAATAAAGAGGGTGGGAGGGAGGCGAAGAAGAGAAAAGAGAAAGAAAAGATTGGTGCTGGTGAGGGAAGCAAATGCTGAAAACAAATTGCAGGATGGGGTGTCCAATGTACAAAGGCAACGCATATTTCAAAATTGATTCATTTCTAGCATGACTTCTATTCTGATGGAAGGATATATAAATGTTCCATAGTTAAGGGTAAACAAAAAACACGATGGACGAGTCCACCACTAGTGACTCATTAAAAGAGGGCGTAAATATTCTATGATGACACCATGCCTAACAGACTCTGCAGTAGCCAGGCCATGTTTACATAAAGAGAGCTGTTTTATTAAGAGCCCTGAGGAGCAATCATGTATAATTTGAAGTTCCAATTACAAATCCTGCAGTTTAGTAGTCAGTTTTGCAAATCATGAGTTGCTTGTGAAATCCTGTTAGTACCACTTCAAAGAATTATTCAAATTATATTGTTATATAAAAACAATGTTGAATAGCAAAGGTTTTCAATCTAGCTGACCATTCATTCATTCATTCCTCAAATGTTTAAGAATGCCCACGAGGTGCCAGGCACTGCTTAGCTTAGGGGATGAAGCAATGAACAAAAAAGACCAAGTCTCCGACTTCGTGGAGCTTGCATTCTAGTGGGGGAGGACAAGCAACAAAGAAGTTAACAAGTAAAAATTAATTATGTCAATTAGTGACAGGTTCTATGGAGAGAATTTGAATAGGGTAAGGGAAAAATGCAGTGTGGGGTGAGGGAAGGAAAGTGTAGAGTAGCTATTTCTAAATGTGGTTATATAAGGTCTCTCCCATCAGGTAACAACTGAGCAGAGACCTGAGGCACTGAGTTACTGATATCTGGGGGAAGAGCATTCCAGACAATGAGAACAGAAAGTGCAAAGGACCAGAGGCAAGGGTGTCCCTAGTGGGTTCAAGAAACATGAGGAGGTCAATGTGGCCAGTGTGGAGCAGATGATGGGGAGGTGGAGGAGATGAAATTAGAGAAGAAATGGGAGCAGATAACTAGGGCTTTTAAAGTCTTGGCTTGTGCTGAGTAAGATGGAAAGCTGTTGGGATTTTGCAATGATCAGCCTGGCTTCTCTAGTAAGAATGAACTGTGGAGGAGCCTTTGTGGCGTAGTCGTTAAGAGCTTGGCTGCTAACCAAAAGGTCAGCAGTTCAAATCCACCAGTCATCCCTGGAAACTCTATGGGGCAGTTCTACTCTGTCCTATAGGGTCGTTATGAGAGAAAAAAAAGAGAGAATGAACTGTGGGGAATGAGGGTGGGAACAGGGAAAACAAACAGAGGCCACTGTAACAGTCCAGGTGAGAGAGAACGATGATGGCTGGTGTCACAGGTAGCAGAAGAGGTCATGAGATTCAGTCAGGTTTTGGATGTATGTTAAGGAAACGCTGTCAGAATTTGCTGATGAATAGAGAATATAAGAGATAGGGAAGCCAAAGAAAAGCCAGGTTGCCAGTGGTGCTGTTGGTGAATCAAGGAGTCTGTTTTGAACACATTAATATGGAGATCACTATTGGACATCCAATTTAAGACAATGAGTAGGCAGTTAGATATATGAGTTTAGAGTTCAGGGGAGTAGTTTGGGCTGGAGATAAACATTTGGGAGTTGGCCTATTGATGGTATTTGAAGCCAGGTAGTCTGAAACTGAGCCCTGGGTCACTCCAACATTTACAGTCAGGGTGTGAGGAAGAACTAGCAAAGCGGGAAAAGGAGCATCCAGTGAGGTAAGACGTAAACGAAGACAGTGAGCTTCAAGAAGGAGAGACTGATCGATAGTCAGATTGGCCAAAAAAGATGAAGACCAACATTTGCATTTCGAAGTGTGTAGGTCACTGATCCCCCACACGTCTGTTCGTTTGTCGTACTGTGGGGGCTGCATGTCGCTGTGATGCTGGAAGCTATGCTACCATATTCAAATACCAGCAGGGTCACAAATGATGAACAGGTTTCACCTGAGCTTCAAGACTAAGACAGACTAGAAAGAAGGACATAGCAGTCTACTTCTGAAAAAACTTAGACAGTGAAAACCTTATGAATAGCAGCTGATCATTGTCTGATACAGTGCTGGAAGATGAGGCCCTCAGGTTGGAAGGCACTCAGAAGATGACCGGGGAAGAACTGCCTCCTCAAAGTAGAGTTGACCTTAATGACGTGGATGGAGTCCAGCTTTCAGGACCTTCACTTGCTGATGTGGCACGACTCAAAATCAGAAGAAACAGCTGTGAACATCCATTTATAATTAGAACATGGAGTGTACGAAGTATGAATCTAAGAAAATTGGAAATCATCAAAAGCGAAATGGAATACGTAAACATCAATACCCTAGGCATTAGTGAGACGAAATGGACTGGTATTGGCCATTCTGAATCAGACAATCATATGGTCTACTATGCTGGGAATGACAACTTAAAGGGAATGGTATTGCATTCATCCTCAAAAAGAATTTTTCAAGATCTCTCCTGAAGTACAATGCTGTCAGTGATAAGATAATATCCATATGCCTACAAGGAAGACCAGTTAATATGACTATTATTCAAATTTTCACACCAATCGCTATGGCCAAAGGTAAAAAATCAGGAGGTAGCGTATGATCAAGAACGGTACTGAAGGAAGAAGTCCAAGCTGCACTGAAGACATTGGCAAAAAACAACGCTCCAGGAATTGATGGAATACCAATCGAGATGTTTCAACAAACAGATGCAGTGCTAGAAGTGCTCACTCGTCTATGCCAAGAAATTTGGAAGACAAGCTACCTGGCCAACCAACTGGAAGAAATACATATTTGTGCCCATTCCAAAGAAAGGTGATCAAACAGAATGTGGAAATTATTGAACAATAGCATTATTATCACGCGCAAGTAAAATTTTGCTGAAGATAATTCAAAAATGGTTGCAGCAGTACATCCACAGGGAACCGCCTGAAATTCAAGCCAGATTCAGAAGAGGACATGGACAGAGGGATATTATTGCTGATGTCAGTTGGATCTTGGCTGAGAGTAGAGAATACCAGAAAGATGTTTACCTGTGTTATACTGACTATGCAAAGGCATTCAACTGTGTGGATCATAAGAAATTATGACACTGCAAAGAATGGGAATTCCAGAACACTTAACTGTGCTCATGAGGAACCTGTACTTAGACAAAGAGGCAGTCTTTGAGACAGAACAAGGGGTACTGCATGGTTTAAAATCAGGAAACGTGTGTGTGAGGGTTGTACCCTCTCACCAAACTTATTCAATCTGTATGCTGAGCAAACAATCTGAGAAGGTGGACTCTCTGAAGAAGAGTGGGGCATCAGGATTGGAGGAAGACTCATTAACAACCTGTGATATGCACATGACACAACCTTGCTCGCTGAAAGTGAAGAGAACTTGAAGCACTTATGGATGGAAATCAAAGGCTACAGCCTTCAGTATGGATTACATCTCAACATAAAGAAAACAAAAATTGTCACAACTGGACCAATAAGGAACATCATGATAAATGGAGAAAAGATTGAAGTTGCCAAGGATTTCATTTTACTTCGATCCACAATCAATGCCCATGGAAGCAGCAGTCAAGAAATTAAATGATGCATTGCACTGGGAAAACCTGCTGCAAAGGACCTCTTTAAAGTGTTGAAAAGCAAAGATGTCACTTTGAGGACTAAGGTGCCCCTGACCCAAGCCATAGTGTTTTCAATCACCTCATATGCATGCAAAAGCTGAGCAACGAATAAGGAAGGCTGAAGAAGAATTGATGCCTTTGAATTATGGTGTTGGCGAAGAACGTTGAATATACCATGGACCGCCAGAAGAACAAACAAATCTACCTTGGAAGAACAGCCAGGATGCTCCTTAGAAGCAAGTATGGCGAGACTTCATCACACATACTTTGGACTAGTCCCTGGAGAAGGACATCATGCTTGTAAAGTAGAGCGAAAGCAAAAAAGAGGAAGATCCTCAATGAGATGGACTGACGCAGTGGCTGCAACAATGGGCTCAAACACAGCAGGGATTGTGAGGATGGTGCAGGACCAACCAGGCAGTATTTTGTTCTGTTGTACATAGGATCTCTATGAGTCAGAACCGACTAGACGGCACTTAACAACAATAACAGATCATTGATGAATTTGACAAGGACGGTTTCGGTGAAATAGTAGGGACAAAAGCTTGACTGCACCACATCCAATGGGTAATAGAAATAAAGGGATTTAGAAAACTCTTTCAAGGACTTTTGCTGTAGAAGGGTGCAGAGAAACATGACAGTAGCTACGAAGGCTAGTAGACAGCTTTTTTTTTTTCCTAGTAGACAGCTTTTTTTTTTTTTCTTTTATTAAGCTCGGAGCCACAACAGTCCAATGGCTTCCTGATGATGATGATACAATAATGTTGATACAGACGAGGGAGAGCAGAAAGGCTGCCATGATATTCTTGAGCAGGCAAGAGGGATAGAATCTGGTTTACAAGTGAAGGCATGGGGCTTGAATAAAAGGATGAATCGTGCCCATAGGAACAGGAAAGGAGGCAGAGTGCAGGAGCACACAGGCAGAGAAATGGGTGGATGTGATGACTGGAGGATGTGGACGTGCTCTACCAATCGCTTCCACCTGAAGGGCCACTTAAAACTACAGATCCCTGGCCTGGGTCTGGTGATTCTGATTCCACAGGCCTGCATG